TTAGAATAATCTTTCTTAATACAATATGAGGTATGAACAGAGACCATGGGGGCTGGAGAGATGGCTCAGAACTTAAGAGCACTGGCTGCCCTTCCAGGGGACCAAGGTTCTATTCCCAGCACCCATATGGCAGCTCACAACTGTCTGTAGCTCTGATTCTGGGGGATCAGGCACCCCCAACACTGACATATGCATAGGCAAAACACCAAAGCACATTAAATAAAAATAAACTATTAAAAGAGAGAGAGAGAGAGAGAGAGAGAGAGAGAGAGAGAGAGAGAGAGAGAGAGAGACCATGATCCAATTCAGTACACAATGGATGATGAATGAATGTCTTTATAAACAAATTATTTTACTGTATCTTCACATGACCCTAGGGAACCACTATTCCAATTCTGAAAAGGAACAGAGACTCCAGTGAAGCAGTTTGTCTATTGTGACAAGTTATAAGGAATGGAGTAAATCTCAATCTGGGTAAGAACAAGTTTTTAAATTTTCCAACCTATTACATACAAATCAGTACTTTAAAATAAATTTGTTTAGATTTTTATTTACCATATATGTGTATAAAGATGCTGGGAGGGGCGGTTAGCATACACACATGCCACATTCTTTTGGGAGTGGGGGGGATGACAGGATCTCTCTACATAATCCTGACTGTCCTTAAATTCACTATGTAGACCAGACTGGTGTGGAATTCATAGAGATCCACCTGCCTCTGCCTCCCCAGTGCTGGGATTAAAAGCGTGCACCACCATGCCTGGCTACATGCCATGCAGTTATGTGGAGGTCAGAGGACAACTAGTAAGAGTCAGGTCTTCCATCATGTGGGCCCTGGGATCAAACTCAAGATTGTGAAGCTTGAAGGCAAGCACCATTATCCACTGAACCATGTCACTGTCCCAAAACTAAGACTTTTAAAAACTACTATAAAGGTGTCCTAATTGTATGAAATTGTAAAAAATCCTACAAGCTTTCTCTTCATTTTTATTACTGTCTTGTCATGAACTGATTCTACTGCATGCCCTTTGAAGAGCCCCCAATCACAGCATTTAAAATACTGATTTTCCAACACCACAGTTTGAATTGGTAACAATTCCCAGCTAACTCCCTTCACTCAGAAAAATCTCTAAACTAATAAAACCAATTTTAGGGGCTAAAGAGATGACTCAGCAGTTAAGAACTCTTACCGCTCTTACAGAGGACCTGAACTTGGTGCCCAGCACCCACCCCAAGGCATCTCACAACCACCTGTAACTCCAGTTCTAGAGGAGCTGATGCCTTCTTCTGACATCCTTGAACTCATACGTGCATGCATGTGGTGCACTTACACTCAGGCACATACACATACATTTTTTAAAAAGGCAATTTTTTCCTTTTTTTTTTTTTTTTTTTTTTTTTTTTTTTTTTTGTTTTTTTAATTGCATGAGACAGGGTTTCTCTGTGTAGCTTTGCACCTTTCCTGGAACTCACTTGGCAGCCCAGGCTGGCCTCGAACTCACAGAGATCCACCTGGCTAAAAAGGCAATTTTTTAAAAAGGCAATTTTTTAAAATTATATAGAAGGTGTTGGAGAATTGGCTCAGTGGTTAAAAGCACTGCTCTTTCAGGATCTGGGTTCAGTTCCTAGCACCCACATGGTAGCTCACAACTGTCTGTAACATCAATTCCAGAGGATCTGACACCCTCTTCTGGACTCCACAGGCACCAGACACGTACATGGTACACAGACATATATGTAAGCAAAACAATATATACATTTAAAAATTTGCTTTAAAAATTATATGTGAAAAAAATATAAAACATGGGTTGGGGATTTAGCTCAGTGGTAGAGTGCTTGCCTAGCAAGCACAAGGCCCTGGGTTCAGTCCTCAGCTCTAGCGGGGGAGGAATATATATATAACACATTTTTTTTAATGTAACATTTAAAGTTTTAACAGTTTAAACACATTAAAATTAACACAAAATTCTAGACCAATTTCATAAAACAAAAGAACAAAACCAACAGCTACCCACCTTAACCCAATCACAGGGTAAGAACTGGAGACACGTTTCTGATAGTCCAGAAAGTACAGTCCACATCCGAGCCCAGGAGTGGTGCTAAGGACTCCTACTTATGAGCACATCAGCACACAGGTGGTAGCACACACTTGACTATTCAGTGCTGGGTATCTCTACATGACACCACCACTGAAACAACTCCATGTTAACACTTATATAGCTCTTGCTTAAATCAATGCTTCTGAAAACATCTGAGTTGCCTTCTTTTCTTTTCAGACAATGAGGGGCTGGAGACATGGCTCAGTGATTAAGAACACTGTCTGCTCTACCTAAGGACCCAGGTTCAGGGTTGGGGATTTAGCTCAGTGGCAGAGCACTTGCCTAGCAAGCGCAAGGCCCTGGGTTCAATCCTCAGCTCTGGAAAAAAATAAAAAATAAAGAAATAAAGACCCAGGTTCAATTCCCAGCACCCACATAATGGTTCAGGATCATCTGTAACTCCAGTTTGAGAGAATCTGATGACCTCCCCTGGCCTCCATCTTCACCAGGTTTGGTGTACTTTACATACAATAAGCACTAACAATTAAAAGAGAAAAAAGTTACTTACAGCTCCTTTAAGTGAGTCTGAGAAAAAGCATTTTCTTGGATAGACATTATAGCATTGTTGTTCAAATCTCTGAAACCAAGAGAAATGCAACATCAGTAATTCTGTCTATAGTGAAGCAACATAAATGCTTAAATGCTCATGAACACCTCCCGGTGACAGCAAAATTTGTTTTGTTTTGAGGCAGCCTCAGTATGCAATCCTGTCTGGCTTTAAACTTGCTATGTAGACCAGGCTGGCCTCAAACTCACAAAGATTTCCCTGTCTCTGCCTCCTGAGGACTAGGATTAAAGGTAAGCACCATCACACCCAGCACAAAGATTATGCAGAGTATAGCTGGAGGTTTTCCTGTGTCCTGTCCAGTCCTGCAGCCACTCAGACCCAAGTAAACACAGAGGTGTATATTATTTACAAACTGTATAGTCTATGGCAGGCCTCATGCTAGCTAGTTGTTATATCTTAAATTAACCCGTAACTATTAATCCATGTATTGCCACATGTTCCATGGCTTTATCTGCATCCCATTACATGTTGTTCCTTGGGTGGCTGGCTCACATCTATTCCCTTCTTCCTTTCTTCTTCCTATCTATCTGCTTATATTTCCTGCCTACCTCTAAGCTGCTTTGCCATAGGCCAATACAGCTTTATTTATCAACCAATCAGAGCAACACATATTCACAGAGTACAGAAAGACATCCCACAGCAGCAGTGAGTAAATATATATGAAATACTTACAAATACTCAAGGGATTCAAGACCAATGAATGCTTTCTGAGTAATTGACTTAATTTGGTTTCCTTGCAAGACTCTGAAATAAAATTAAATTTATTAAATATTTATCTATACATGGTATACTTAAGTTAAAAGTTTATAGTGTGGTATTAGTAACACATTTTTAATTATGTCCCTGCATGTAGATAGTGGGGGAGAGGTATGTTCATATGAGTGCTGTGCCTGTGGAGACCAGAAGAGGACATCAGACCCTCTGAAGTAGAAGTTACAAGTGGTTATGAGCCACCTACTATGAGTGCTGAGAACCAAACTCAGGTCCTCTGAAAGAACAGAAAGCATTCTTAACCTCTGAGCTTTACTGAAACACAACTGAGGAGGGGGGAAATTATATACACTGAACTATAGCTTAGTGAAAGCAAGCATTTTTAAGAAAGTTATGAACTTACTAATTAATGCAAAGCACAACACAAAAGCTTCTGTTGAGATTTCAGAGCTCCTCTGAACAGTCATCCTAACCACTAAAGTAATTTGCCAATGCTATGTAAGGTTAAATTTCCCGTTTCTCTCCTTAATAAAAGATGGTCAGATTAAAGACATTCAGACAAGCATAAATCTTTGGTGAAATCCTTCTTATAGGAGATGTAAAATGCTTCATGGAAGAATATTTTCTCCTATTATTAGACATATTCCCCATACATCTCACATGATTAAACACAATACAAACTCAACTACATTTTCTCAAAGCTCTTCTCTTACTTGAATGGAAAACTCTATTCTGTAACTTATTTAAATCCCACAGTGTTGAGAGCGTACACTTATAGTCACTATGGAAACCAGTATGGAGGGTCCTTCAAAAACTGAAAATAAAACTACCATATGGCCCAACTAAACTACTGGTAAATACATACCTGAAGGACTCTAAGTCAATATGCCACAGCCTAGGTGTCCACTAAAACATGGATGGATAACGAAAAGATAGCACATACATACAACAGAATTTTATGCAGCCATAAAGAAAAATTAAGTTATTGAATTTGTAGGAAAATGGATAAAGCCAAACATTTTCTCTCATAAGCAGAACCTAGATTTAGAATTATATACGTGTGGCAAATGTGTTGCTCTGATTGGTCAATAAATAAAACACTGATTGGCCAATGGCTAGGCAGGAA